TATATAGGGTATTTCATACTGTATATTTTACCATACGGTATATAATACTATAGATTTTACCATGTGGCATATAATACAGTTTATTTTAAACCATTCATTTGGCGGTTCAACCAGTAACGGCAGCCGAATTCGCGTTTATTTTTTAAATTCTAGATTTTAATCACACTTTTAATAAAGAATACTTAACTTGAAAGTAAATTTAACTTGATGTATTATTTTTTTGCATGCTCTTAAGTATCATTACCAAATTTTATTACATATTAGGAAACCATATTTACAAAATCATTGCAGCCGTTTCAATATCTATGAGCAAAAGCACTATAAAGGCGCTGTGATAAAATTTACTGAGCTTTTTGGTGTTTACATAGAGATAGAAACGTGAATAATTTTACAATAATATGGTAATATTGATCATATTTTTTTTAACTCAGGGCACTTACGGGACGGAATACTAAGAGGAATATAATTCTTTTTTGCTCATGGAGAAAAATATTTCACATATAATTTCATCCCACCACCAATAAAAAAAATATTTAATTTTCAACAATATAAAAAAAACGCATTTTATTACTTTATTAGTAGCTTTTTTTCATTTGAGTTTTAAAAATATTTTTTTTTAAAAAGAAATATATTTTAAAAGAATCATCTTTAAACTGTATTCATCACTATGCGCATAGAAACTAGCATAGATATTGATATAATAATTTTTCTATTTTATTAAAGGAAAAAAGTATATTGAAAAAGAAGAATATTGAGATATTTTGTCTCAAAAACAAAGATAAATGATATCTTTCATCATTTGATTTAAAGGCGATGGAAAAAATAATTAATTGTGAACCACTTCGCAAAATTTTTTTAAAGGAATTACTAGAACACTATTACATTGAATTCTGGGAATTCCGATCTGTGATGAGAAATCCCGTTGTCATGGAAACTGATGTAATTTTCTGACAGAAGTGAAAGAGCTTTTAAGAAAAAGAATAATTGGGATCTTTATCAGTTAATTAAGATATAAGTTAGGAAATGATCAAAAAGAAAATTTTGTTATCAACAGGGACTTTTTCTACAACGCTGACGCAAATCTCTTTCATAAACCTACTCCTTATGAAGAAACTTTTTTTTGTTTTCTCTTCATTGGTGACATTTAATAATAAATGCTTGATGAAATATTGCCTTTGTTTGTCAAGTATTGAACAGTAGAAAGCAAATAAAAATTTGACTTTGAATAATCTCATAGCTTTCTAATGTTTCATAAATCTAATATCTTAAAAATGTTTTATACATTTTAAAGAGCTAGTTCCTTAAATTAGAAAATTATTCTTTACGCTGCGTGTGGGATAATGGCAGAGACTTAATGACAAGTACAATTGGACTTATTTTAAAATCTGAGATAACAAGTCTCTGTAGGTAATTGTCAATTCGGGTAGAAAAATTGCACATTTTTAGAAAACTTTTTTTTTATTCGAATTGATTTTAAAATTTGGCATTATATTTTGTAAATTAAATGCATTTGTGAAGTAAATTTCTATAAAGAAATTTGAAAAGCATGTAGAAAATTTATACAATAAACAGTCCCACATTGGACTGCTCTAGTGGGCACACTGTAGCAACACGTACATAGCAGCACGGTAGAACACACCGAAGTCACGCATCATTGGCTGCGGTCAGTAAGTGAGAAGGTGAGCACTTTTATCAGACTGTGTAGGGACCGAGGGTCCTAGTTAAACTGTTCTACCGCAAAATGCTCAACTCCGTGCGCATGCCGTCTGGCCTCCAAAGTGGAGCGTCATCCACACTGCAGAGGATCAGAAATGTGATGGCATGTCTTCGGATTATCTTCACAGATGTTTCCAAAACCGTCGCTACTAGCTCATTGCGCAGCTCTGGAGGGACGTAAATAAAAGCACCTAACTAACATGAAGTTGATAAGTAAATTTTTAAAAAAACTATATTTTTATAAAGCGTGTTAAAGGCTTTAGTGCAATATGTTTTCTTTTTCTATTATTATGTTGTTGTTTTTTTCCCCTCCAAAGTGCCTTAATAACTTTAAAATGAGTACCTTATTTACTTCATGAGCAGAGAAATTGCTAAATATTTGAATTTTGATCTGTTTCTAATCATCACACTGTTCCCTGCTTTGTTAAAGAAAATCTCATGCTCTTTTCTCAAAGTCTCATGTAAGAGTCCGACGAACTCATGAATTAAACATATGTTAAACAATTGATAACGCATTTGAACTATGTATTTCAAATTAGATATTTAACTAATGATTACTTTTATTTTTGCATAGGATGCATTATAAACAATTTTCATGCATTTTAAGATTCATTTTGAATAACTATATAAAATAGATGTCTTTTAAATATGTTTAGATGTTGTTGTGTAGTCTAATAGAAGAAATAATCAGTTCTTTGTAAATAACTTTCATAAATTGTTAGGACTATCGCATTAAATCTCCTAGGTGCATTAAAAAGTTGGCAGTTGGCAATGCGTCCGGAGTTTCCCTTAAAGACTCACGTGATCAAAAAAAAAATGCTTTTGTATCTTAACTAAAAAATCTCTTATTTAGGCGTTCACTTGAAAAAATAATAAGCAAAGAATCTTAATAAAAACTGAAGCACAATTTCCTTTTGCACCACTTCTTAAAAACTAACTGAACCTTTAAAAAACCTCAGTGTAGGGTAAACCGTGCATATGTATACCGGGCAATGGCACTTGACCTTAAAAAAACATCAGTGTAGGGTATACCGGCCAGTGGTACTTAACTAGACCTAGTATATATTTCGGACAATTACCAAAGGCCTAGTCATACTAGGTCTAGTTAAGTGCCATTGCCCGATATACATTTGCCCGGCATACCCTACACTGATGTTTTTTTATGGTTCAGCGCCATTGCCCGGTATACCCTACACTGATGTTTTTTTAAGATCAACTGCCATTGCCCGGTATAACCTACACTGATGTTTTTTTAAGGTTCAGTGCGATTGCCCGGTATACATTTGCCCGGTTTACCCTACACTGATGATTTTTTAAGGTCAAGTGCCATTGTCTGGTTATATTTGCCTGATACTCCAAACACTGATGTTTCTTCTAATCTATCGTCAGTAAGTATTTAAATATTGAATAAATGAAATTATGTCCACGAATAAATTAATATGAAATCGGATGTAATAAATATTTCGGACATTCACCAAAGCGACTATGTGATTGTCAACATTCACTGGTGAAAGTCAACAATCACCGATCAACTTAACTTCCACTAGTTTTATAATAAGGATCTTCCTAAAAATTTTATTTATTTCATTTTATCCCAGAAAACAGTCCAAAAATAAAATTATTTTCCACGTCATTTATCTTTAACCTAAGATTTTGAAATATTCTAGCTACATAGAATATTTCTTTTCTAAGGATTACACAGTGTTTCATCATCCTATTCTCCTTACACTTTCAATGACCTTTTATCAAGAGTTTTATGATCTTTTAAGTATTGTATAAACTCCAAAAAAAGTATGAGGTAATAGTAAATGCTTATATTAAATTAAAATAAGATATCATTTGCTGTAATTTGTAACATTTATTTTTGAATGATAACAAATATGACTAAAAATCATTAAAGTTTATAAAAATGATTGTAAATAACGAATCGAATAATGATTCATTAAAAAATCAAAGACTATTTCTTTAATTTTGCTTTCTTACAATATAATAATAAATACATATTCCACTTATAATTACCACTTATAATTTAACGTTATAGTCAAATATATCACATCTTTTTTTTGCTTACAATTTATTGTGCCATGTGATGATTTTTAAATTTTCTTACAACAATAATGTTCTAACAATAATTAAAAATGAATCATACAGTCAGATTTTAACTTATAGATACATAAATAATCCTTTTGTGCAATTATAATATTGCATGCATCAAGGCTGTGCTTGTTTATTTGCAGCCACGCCGCAGTTTTTGTTTCAAGATGTTGTGGTGATAATCAGTAGTTGACTAGTTAAATAGACTAGTTGACTAGTTTGTTTAATGCAGTAAAATTAATGTCCTCTTAATAAAATGCCGATGTTTTAGGCATTAAACTGCATATGATACTATACGTAATTATAAGTTAGAAATTTTACAGCCAAATTAACTTTCAAATTAATAAAAACTCTCATTATTTTATAACCATTTTATGTGATCCATCTGCCGACATGATATTCTGACAACAATCAGAAAGTTAAAACAGTTATGCAGATTTAAATTTTTAGATTTATGTATGTCCACTTGCAGCAGTTTTGATAATTTTAGGCTTTAAACTACATGTAGCATACATTTAAACTATTTTTTTTAATATTCAAAGCTCATCCCCGTCCCGCCCCCTAGCGGGGGCATCCGGGGTGAAAATTTATTGATCAACAAAAGGATACAAAACAATTTCCAGTTTGAAAACAAAAGAAGATGAGAATTTACAATGATAAACATGAATAATAAAACAAAATAAATGAATAATAAATAAATATAATAATATTTAATGCTTATCCTAAATTTTAGTTGACATCCTATAATTTTAGTTGACAATGACTTGTATGCCTTAGATTTGAATAGAGACGAATTTGATATAGCATTACATGATTTCTTAAGTATCTTTGAATATTACTAACAACAACAATCTGAAAAAGAATACAGTATATAACATTGGATCCAAGAGGGTAAACAGGTAAGTGAAAGATTGTAAACATTAAAAACATTGGATCAAAAGGTAAATTAGACAAGCAAAAGCAATTTAAACGTAATAAAACATTGAAAACATAGAAATTGAACCAACAGGCTTCCAGAATATAAAATATAAAATATCATTGAACCAAAAGGGTTCCAAAGTTAAAAACAAATAAATAGCAATGAAGTGAAATGAGTAGAATTAAAAGAAAGCATTAAGAGCATTTAGCTGTTTGTGGCAGGGCAGGTGGTCGCTATGCAACCCCGAGAGATGTTAATTAGGTGCAAAGATCTAAATTTGATTCATATGAAGAGGGTCCATGAGATCGTCTGGTGTCATTATATCTACCAGGGTACGTTTAATAATCTCAGTGATAGCATATTTTTGTGCTTTAGATCGGAACCAAAGAGTCAAGTCGTTCATATTACGAAAGAGATTTCCTCGGAGTGTCCGGAATTTGTCACATTCGGCGATTAGGTGTTTAAGAGATTGATATTTTCCACAGTATTTACAGCTGGCTGTAGCTTGGAATAGCCTAGCTTGATGCTCGCCGAAAACTCCGTGACCCGTGAGAAATTGATTAAGAAAGAAATCGCTGGAGAGTCTATTCTCCTTGACCATTGGGTAGAAGATATAGGTATGTCTCCCATTTGTTGTGGTTGACCACCTGTCCTGCCAAATTGCGTTGCTTACCTGCCTCAGTCTGTAATTGATTTGTGGTTTTGAAAGAGGATAATAGTGATCAACCCCGCCAAGAAGAGTGCCTTGTTTGGCAAGTGCATCAGCTTCCTCGTTGCCAATGTCCCCAGAATGTGCCTTTACCCAGTTGAGACAGCATGTTTTATATTTGACCATGTTCTTAATTTCTTCCACAAGTGGGTCATTCGGATTTGGGTTTTCTAGCGACTGCAGCGAGGATTTAGAATCAGAGAATAAATTAAATGCATTAATATTTTCAGCGTTTGCCCATGTGATTGCAAGTTTGATGGCAGTGAGTTCGGCGGGGTATACACTTGCATCGTTATTAAGTCTAGCACAGTGTTGATAAATGGTGTTGTTATTAAGCTTCACCAAGAAACCACAGCCCACTCTATCCTCGGTCAACCCTGTATCCGAATTTGTTATTTGTCTTCTACTGCCGTCTGTATAGATTTCATAACCCACACCCCTCGGTGAGCTGTAGCCCCTTTCTATCATCTTGAGATCCAAGGGATTATGGTGTACTGGGGTATCTATCGGTAAGGCATCTAGTTCTTTGATTTGGAAGTCGCTATCGAAAATGATTTGCTTATCTCGCGTCCACCGATGTTTCTTTATAGTACAAGTCTGTCTAATTTTTAGGTCGATGGGGGGAATACCAGCAAGAATTTGGAGAGCCTCTGTGCTGGTGGTGGAGTAGCATTTGGTGATATTTAGAAGGGGGATGCGCTGTATGGAGTTCAACTTCTTATTAATTTTCACGTTATTTTTATACCATACAGAGGCTCCGTAAGTGATTTTTTTCTCAATAGCTCGGAGATAAATTTGTTTAAGAATGTTTGGGGACAAGCCCCAGGTGGCTCTACTGAACTGTTTCATTTTGTTGTAAAAGATGTCGACATCGGACTTTAACTGCTCGAGATGTGGCATCCAGCTCAACCGAGGGTCAAAAATCACGCCAAGATATTTAAGTGTTTTTACTGGTTTAATATTGGCAGTAGTTGTGCCAGCCATTTTGATACGCGGTTGCCTTCTAACACATTTGGCGTCTTTAAGAAATGTGATCAATTTTGTCTTTTCAGGTGCGAAAACAACTATTTTTTTTAAATAAAATCTTTAGCTTAAAATATTTATTGGAAATGTACTCAAGCACAGTCTTTAAATATAATAAGACTTTTGGGAGGCAGTAAAACCATACAGAATACTGTGTGAGTTAAATTTCATTTTTCAGAGCAAACTAGAATATTTGAAAACTCATCTAAAGTTTACAAACTGAAAATCCATATTTTTAATTTTTTAGACTATTTCTACACTAACTTAACTTAAATCTACATAAATAATGAATATAAACAATTTAAAAACATTTTAAGCCAAAGAAACATTTCCCCAAAGTCTACTGTTTTTAAAACCTATCCAACCAATAACCTTTACAATAATTTAAAGCGTCAAAATAAAAGAGGAATGCTGAAATGCAAGCTTAAAATGGTTTTCTCGAGCTTAATTTAATTCGAATAATCCACGTTTTGATCTCCTTTATGCAAGAATTGTTGATAAAAATTTACAAGAAAAATCTAAAAATCATAATTCTTAGAAGTCTTGCAATTTGCTTGTAAATTAAAGAAATCCAAATTAGCGTTCGAAAAAAGTATTATTCTAGGAGCGTTCTACGTTTGAGCAAATAATGAAAAGATTCTTTAAAATGACTTTGATAATTCTCTAAGCTAGTTTCACGTCACTAGCTTATTCTGCGAATAGCTTGAATCTCCAAATGAAATTTTAATCCATACATCAAAGAAAATTATTCACTTATTTTTGTTATGTTCTCTTCGCGCTTCATTTAAGTAAATTTCCTTTTCGGAAATTCTTTGATGTCCTCAGATTTTTACCGATCAATACTTTACAAACGAGACTTTTACAGTTTTATGCAAATTTGTATTTGCGATGCAAATTTACTCATTATCCGGGACTTTTTTCCCCATCTTTTTGATGTCACAAATTTTGTTTTTGTACTTTTATACATCCGCGCTCTGGAGAGTTGATTCAATTAACCGTATTTCAAAGACGTTTTTTTTCTTTTCTGACGTCTTTTCTTTGTATTCCACTCTGAAGGGAGAATGTTAGCATTGTAACATTTTTAAAGAAAAATTCCCATTTTCTTTTCAAATCTAAATTTGCATTATTTCTTTTTGTACTTTCATTGCTTGAAGCACTTAGACTCTGATTCTGGCTAAGAAACGTGATAACCTATATTTGTTTATTGATAAGTTTTATATTACCTTTAAAAATGTTCGCTAACTATATTTCAGAAATATTTAAATCGCAAAATAAAAAAATAAGCTAATTTGGAGAGGGAGTATAAGAAATTGAAAATATATTAATTAATTTAATATAATTATTGGACTAAATGAAATAAATGTCTTTCAAAAATAATTTTAAAATTGGATAGTTTGAAAGTATATATTTTATACTTAATACATTATCAAAATTATTAAATTGAATGCAATGTTAAAGAATAATGTTTACTCAAATCGTAAAGAAGAAAATGCTGAATGCAAACAATTATATTAAATGTTACCTTACTTTATAAGAAGCGCAAATAATTTTGGCAACAGAAAAAAAGGAAGAAGAAAAAGAGAATCGATCGAAATCATGTTCAGTACAAAAAATTTAAAAATTATGTTGATGATAAAAAATAACTTTAAAACGATAAGAAGAAGTTTTGTTTTACTCTGAAATAAATATAATATGTTTTTAATACATGTCTAAGATTGTCAAAATATAGTATTCTCTCTCAGTTTTTTTTAATATAAATATTTTTTGTTACGATTGCTTGCAAAACAAATGTTTTTGAAACTTATATAACGATGTCAGCACATAAAGAAAAAAATAGATAAATCATATCATTTTATAACTATTCGTTTTTGATTTGCTGATATTTGAGGTTTTAGTCTTAAATTATTGTATTTTATCTAAAATGAGATAAGCATCATTTTAAATAATCTTTTAGGAGAAAAATTAAATTTAAATTTTTAAAATTTGATTTTCAAACCTTTATTGTATTCTAAATCTAATTATATAATAGAGTAAAAGTAGAATATAAAATAACTATATTTTGTTCCATGCATATATGCGCATTCACTTAGTTGAAAAGCTTGTAGACAAAGGCGACACCATGTCATAATTTATTAACATCCAATTGTCTTGCTAAATTATTCATAATTTAATGTCCAGCGATGTTGTTGTCATGAATAAGTATTATTCTTATTATTTTCATTAGAAAAATTGGACATTCGTGATAAAAATTGAAAAACATTAAAAATAATTGTTTGAGAGAATAACGTCCAAGAATAAACATTTATGAGAAAATAAAGTTTAATAAATGGTATAACACACAGTTAAAAAGCAACTCAATTTACAGTCGGTAATGATAAAGGAATTAAAATGATTGTAAACACACTAAATAACTTTTAATATGATGATTTGAATTAAGTTACATTTTAATTTTTTAATTTGCGTACGGAAATCTTGCTAAGTTAAAATATTTTTTAATTTGATTAATTTCCAAAATCGAACCTAAAAAATTGCTTTGTAGCGAATAAGCATTCCCATTCGTCGCTTAATTTAGATTTTTGATCTAAAAACATTAGTGGTGTCGAAATTGGAAAAACATGTGCGAAGGCGGTGGTCGCCATTACTAATATTTTAGTGGTAGTCAAAGTATCATCATTGACATTTGACCGTTACATGCACATCCTAATTTGGATGTAATAAAATAATTATCTTCAGGAAATAAATAAAATCGTTTAAGTAAACATTTGATTTATTTATGGAAATATTAGTATATTCAAAATGGCCATATTTAAAATATGCAAATAATAAAGAAAATAAATCCCTTAAAGGGATCAAGGTAGCATTCTCCACATCGAGAAATTTTGATTGGAAACAATATTGAACGGTTGGGACTGGGATAAATAGAATAACCATATAACTGAAACATATTTGTGGTAAGAAATTAATAATAAAGAGTTATAAACAGATTTTTGTTTTCGACTTAATGAGTGTTCATTAGTATTAAAATAAAAAGTTAGCTGTTACATTGATTGATAAGAAAATAATAAAATATTTTATGTTCGCTTTTAAATAAAAATTAACTAATTGATTTAATTTAAGTATAATTTGATTAACAATGATCAGAAAAATAAGTTTGTAATTAAAGGTATTTTAAAAGTTAGGAAATATGTAATGTCTATTGTGGCATCACAACATGGTTCAAATAGTTTAGGCAGGAGATTAGAAGTTTTGAGCCCTTTATCTTTAGTTTTTGAGTTTCTCAGTATATCTCTAAAACTCATTTTTTAAATCTCTGAAACTAAAATCGATATACTTTTGCAATGAATCTGACGAAAATGAAAGCATTAAATAAATATTTATCTCTGATTTACATAATTTTATGGATTAAACATAATATTATGAAACATTAAATAGCATTAACCCAGCAAGCTTAATTAAAAGACTAATAATTAAATTATATAGTTAAAATAATTTATGAAATCCAAAAAAAATAAATTCAAATTGGCCTTAAATAATCTTTTTTTTCTTTCCTTCGTTTTTTTAAAAATAAAATCACATTTCACTTTTTATAAGCGTTCTTTTCTACAAACAATGTTTAAAAGAAATAGAAACAATGTTTCCGACTTATGTTTTCCCAAACTCAAAAGATAACACTTTGGGTAAGTGTTCCATATATTGCTTCACTGAGCCCCGCGTGACCAATGGCCGTTCCCTAAACTCACCAATATCGCCGAATCTGTGTGGTCACATGACAAGCGTAACGATCACAGCAAACTCTTGAAGAATTCTTCACGCCCCATAACTATCCAATCACGCGTTCCAGAAACCACTGAGATATTTCTTCCTGTCTTCGCTTTTCTGGAGTAAGAAAAACAGGAAAAAATACTGAGCCAAGTGAAAGCCTATGTCATCTGTTGCAGAAGGTGGTGTTATATATTACTTCTGAAGGACAGGAGATGGTTACTTCACCGAAACCATCCCAAGAAGGAGGATAAGGATTAGGAAAAGTTTCAGTTAGAAATCCTTCGGCATTAACTGGAATCGTAGGGTTTTACAAATGACTTCTAGCTAGTAATGTCACGATTTATCACTGGAGGGATTTGTTTCGATTCTTCGAAATAAAACAATAAAATTTCAGCGGCTTACCGCTTCTTCAAGTTAGAGATAAAATGCATTGATACACCAGGTTTAGTTTGATTTATAATAGTCAGCTTTTATGATGCTTAGAGCTTCGTTAGAGCGATTTGTTATGAGGTCTTAAACATTTCTAAGTGAAAAATAAATAATAAAGAACAAAAACTAAAATTACCATAAGTGCAATAATGATGTCAGTTTCATTATAAAATTACGTTTCTCATGAATCTCGTTTTTTTATGAATTTAGCTATCGTTAATCGGTTACATAATTGTTTTATAACTGTCGTTGAACAGCTGATCCAATTTTTAGTTTACGATTACCAATATCGAACTCCGTAGCCTTGTAATTTGGAACTTAGATCAGAAAACAAGGGAACTCTTGGATCTATTATAGGGAGACATTTGTCTCATTGCAGGACATTTTGATATAAATAAACCACATTTGCGTTACATGGAGAGGAAAAATTACGAAAACCTCTCACGGTTAGCCTGATGGTAAGATTACCATAATCCATGATTCATCTGCCAGTAATGTGGTCAATGTGAACCGGGTATGAATTTAGATCTATCAGCCTATGCTGGGATTCGAATCTGGAGCACCTCATTGGGAGACGACCATTCTCTCCCCTGAGCCACCGTGACCCTTGTTTAATTTATTTGTAGCAAGCTGCAAGTTATGCAAATAAATATTTTAGCTGCAAACAAATAAATTAAAAAACTAAAAAGCGTTATTGATGTCTTAAATTTTTTGTGTCTAAGCAATTTCATATTGCATTCTTGGTCAAATATATTATTTTTTAATATTTC